CATGCATGTAATTCTGGCTGCTTGGAAGGCTGAGGCGGAAGGATTGCCGGAGCCCAGCAGGTCGAGGGTGCGGTGGCCGGGAGCGACCACTGCACTCCAGTCTGGGCGACAGAGTGAGACTCCAACTCAAAATAAATAAATAAATAAATAAAATAAAGTCAAACATTGAGTTTGACTATGCGTTTGGTGAAATTAAACAAATAACACCTACCTTACTGACTTGTACATCAGATTTGTTTGAAAAATCACTGTAAAAAAAATTTTGTCAAAATTAAAAAAGCAATAAAATATCAGTTGAGTATTTTCATAAAAGCCATTTTATACAAGATAAAACATTTAGGTTACTAAATCTATATTCAGTATGCTGAAAATAACCAAAATGTGACAGTACTAGTCGGTCTGATATTTTTGCCACCTCACTCATAGTAAACAGCAGTACTAACAAGTTCATTTGAAGCTGAATCATTAATGTAGCAGGAAGTGCCAGTTCTACCATAAGAATCATTTTTTTCATAACATATAAGGCTAGAATTAATTTAAACTTGAAGTAACAACCTGATAGACTATAAATGGACATTTTGTAATAAAAAATTAACCTTCAGAAAGATTGCAAAGAATATATTATTTATTACAAAAACTCATTTCTGATAATTAAATTTCATATTTCATTAAGCAATGTTCTTAAATATATTAAGTTTTACCCATTACTAGATTAGTAAGTATAATTCTAAAATGTCTGTATCCTAAAGATTTCTTTCTGAAGTGGTATGTTGTACTGATATGATGTCTTTTAATACTATATAAAATCTAATGAGACAACAGAATGACTAATTTCAAATTTAGTTCCCTTCCTGTGTAATTTAAACTGTTACTATTTTAAAAAGTATTAAGTAATCATGTGTTTTCTACTGAAGTTACCTTTTTAAAACTGTGTAAAATAATTTTGTTGTATCTGTCAGAAAAATATTCAGGTCTAAAATTTAAGAACATACCTATCAAACAAAGACTCCTTTAATTTTCTTGTAAATCTTATGTCATCTTTTGGTTTGTATTGCTTATTGATTTGGCTTATCAGGGATTCTGCTGCATCAGCAAATCGTTTCTCTTTTGACTTCTTGCTCTGGAAAAAAATGTGTAAGTTACATTAAAACTCTACCAGTTAGTCTTCAAAGGAAAATAAAGGCTGTTAAAAACTTTTAAGAAAAGTCTGGTTCTATTTATAATTATATACAAAGAGAAATAAAAGAAGTCAGAAAAGATTCAGTAAGTTTGGGCTTTGTTAGGCATTAAAACAACTCAGAATAAATATTTTAACATACAGAACTCTGAAGAATGCTCTGTAGATATTTTAAAAGTTTCTAGCCATGAGAATTAAAAAAAAAAAAAACAAGGAAAAATAAGAAGGAAGTTCTTTGAAAAGACCAGTAAAACTGATAAATCTTGGGGAAGAGAGGAAAAGGGAAGGGAGGAGAGAGAAAGGAAGGGAGGGAGGGGAAAGGCAGGAAGGGAGGGAGAAAAGAGGGAGGGAGGGTGTGGGAGAGAGGGAGGGAGTGGGAGAAAGGGAGAGAAACAGAAGTTACTAATATCAGAAATGAAAGAGGAGTCATCACTGCTGATCATGTAAACATTCAAATAATCATAAATATTATGGCTTTCATGCCCACAAATTTGATAATAAGCTAGATGAAATGGATCAATTCCTTGAAGGATACAATCAAGGCTGGGCTCAGTGGCTTAGCCTGTCATCCCAGCACTTTGGAAGGCCTAGGTGAGTGGATTGTCTGAGACCATAGGTTCGAGACCAGCCTGGGCAACTTGGCAAGACCTCGTCTCTACAATAAATAAATAAAAAATTAGCCAGGTGTGGTAGTGCGTGCCTGTAGTTCCAGCTGCTTTGAAGGCCGAGGCGGAAGGATCGCCGGAGCCCAGCAGGTTAATACTGGGGTGACTGTGAATGTGCCACTGCACTCCAGCCTGGATGACAGTGAGACTCCAACTCAAAGAAAGATACAATCTACCAAAACGCGTGCGAGGAAAAACAGACAATCTGAATAGGTCCACATCTATTAAAGAAATAGAATCAATATTTAATACCCTTCCAAAACAAAACATCAGGAACAGATGAGTTCACTGGTGTATTCTATCAAACAGTTAAGGAAGAAATTATACTAATTTTCCATAATCTTCTAGAAGATGGAAGCAATGGAAATACTTCCTGAATCATTCCATGAGGCCAGTATCACCTTAATACCAAAACCAAACACATTACGAAAAAAGGAAACATACAAACCATAAGCACAGACAAAAAGATCCTCAATATTAGCAAATAGAATCCTACGATGTATAAAATGAATTATGCACTATGACCAAGTGGAATTTGTTACAGGCATGCAAGGCTGATTCAACATTTGAAAATCAATTAATGTAATCCACCATACAAATAGGCTAAAGAAAAATAATTGTCAATAGATGTACAAAAAGCATTTGACAAAATCCAAACACATTTATGACTTAAAAAACTCTGCAAACTAGGAATAGAGGGAAGCTTTCTCAACTTGATAAAGAACATCTACAAAAACACTTACAGCTAACATCATACTTAATGGTGTGAAACTAGATCATTTCCTGCTAAAATGAAAAGGCACAAATGTTCCCTCTCGTTCCTTTTCAACATCATATGGGAAGTCTTACCTAATGTAGTAAGACAGGAAAAGGAAATAATATACAGATTAGGAAGGAAAAAATAAAAACTGTCTTTGTTCATGGATGATCTCATTGTCTATGTAGAAGATCTCTAAGAATTAACAGCAACAAGACTGCTAGAACCAATAAGTAATTATACTAAGATTGCAAGATACAAGGTTAATATACAACCTTTCTTACAAACCAGCAATGAACAAGTGGAATTTGAAATTTAAAACAGTATAATTTACATTAGCACTCCCCAAAATGAAATACTTAACGCATATCTAACAAAATATGTACTGAGAAAAACTATAAAATTCTGATGAAAAAAATCAAAGGAAGTGTAAAGAAACAGAGATATTCCACATAAATGGATAGAAAGCTCAATATTGTCAAGATGTCAGTTCTTCCCCAACTTGATTTACAGGTTTAATGCACTCCTAATCAAAAGAACAAGCAGGTGGAGCACAAGGGAATTTTAAGGCAATGAAACTATTCTGTATAATATTATAATGGTAGATGTATGTCACCTCACTACACATTTTTCAAAAGAAACAGAATGTACAACAGAGTGAATCCTAATGTAAACTATAACCTTTAGTTAATAATCTTTATGTATCAACAATGGTTCATGAGTTCTAACAATGTACCACAAGATGTTAACTGCAAGATGTTAATGATAGGGAAGTGGGTAAGGAAGTATATGAGAAGTCACTGTATTTTGAACTCATTTTTTAAAAAACTTAAAACTGAGTCAAAAATTCATTTTTTAAAAATAGGAGAACTACAAAATAAGAATTATCTCATAATTTTAGATAATTTAGTTTTAAAAACTCCAACAGTAGTCTTTAAAGGTATGAGAAATGATTTTATATTTACTTTCTTCTGGGTATCAGTAACAGGGTATTACATGTTAAATGTACAGCAATCAGTCATGCTTCTTTTACTTATGTTATCAAGTAGGCATCTTATGGATTTGCAGAAATCAAAACACATTGAAATCTCACCATTTTTTTTTGTTTCAAATCATGGGAATTAAGTTCAGGAGTCAATTCTTTCCCCAATCTTCTATTACTTTTCACATTTTTTCTAGGAGAAGGACTTTTATTGCAAATTGCAGTATTCACATCTTCTGACATTATGTATTTCTTTCTATAGATCAGTGATTTTTCTATTTTCTTATTTAGAAGGACTGATTTAAAAGTAGTTTCAGATTCAATGTGCCAATCACTCGGCTTGGTATTTTCAGTGTTTTTCTGCTTTAAATATGTAAGATGATTTTGTTGTTGATTGTCTCTTTTACAAACTTCTACATTTGTTTTATCTATTTTGATATGGTCCAGTCTTTCTTTCTTGTATTTCACCTTTTCTGTTTCTTCAGTATTATAATCAGATACTGAAGAAGATGATTTTTGTTTAGTAACTTTTCTGTTGATAACAATATCTAGTGGGTAAAATGAGAAAATATTATTAAATTAATAAATTAACAATATGTAAAATTTACTGAAATGAAAAATGCTTGTTAGACATTTGAGGAAATTAGTATTTCCCTGAATTACTACTGTATACAGATAAAACGATATGTTTTACCTCGATTCAATGTGTCTCCTGATGAAGGACTTGCTCTTTGGTTATTACATAGTTCAATATTTGCTACAGGTGTCCAGCATGCCCATTTGGAGTGCAATTTATTTCCATTGATGTTGTCGAAAACACCAGGAAATCTAGAAAATGAATTCATTTGCTTAATATATTACAAAACATTAGCCTATGACTCTAGGAACTTGATTTTAAATTTAGTCAAGGTTTACGTAAAACAATGTGCTAATAGTCAAATACAGAAATATTTTTATAAGCCATGACAAAAATTAAAATTATATAGTTGATCGGATTAAAGAATTAGAAAAAAGTATCATTACTGCTCTTTCTTTGATTTAAAATTATACAATTGATCAGATTAAAAAATATTAGAAAAAAGTATCATTACTCCTAATACTTTGATATCTACCTAGATGTATCTTACATGTTCTACTGTGCATTTAAAACTAAGTTAAATTTATTCGCATTCATACTTTATTATTTTAAAAATTCACTCATTTTAAGTCTCTCAACTTGAAGGAGTTATGTTGGTTGATATGGGAAAAAATGTATAGAACTGTGCTGTCATAATAACACTTGAGAGAAGGTTATTGCTATAATACTATATTCTAGTAATATAAAATCCTTTTCTCCAAATCTGTTATATCCATCTAAAAATAACATTAATATATGATAAATGATTTGATGAACTTTCTCATACTTACACAGTATAATCTATTTTTCCCAGTGCCTGTGAATCAGGTATAATATCTTGGAGTTCATCTAAATAAAACAAAAATTATGATATTTTCATTTTTTCATTCAGTTGGTAGGGTGAAATGAGAGTTAGTATAGAATTCTACAAAGGTTCACGTATTGGGATGAAGAGATTGATTGATCTTGACTTCTTTCTCTCAGACTCAAACTTCTTGAGAACAAGACTGTATATTTCCATGTAACCTCAAAAGTTCCTTGCACAAAGTCAAATGCATTCTTTATTAATCTTTTTCAAATCTATGAAAGCCAGTGGGGTTAGAGAAAAATATAGAGAAATACACACACACGACACACACACAGTTTTTTAAGTGACTAAAGTTAAACCAACAGATACTTACTAATATTTTGGTTTGGAGATTCAGTGTCCTTATTTTCCGTCTTTTCTACAACTTTAGCAGTTTTGATATTCTATAAACACAAGAAACATGTTAATGTAAACTTGAATTAAGCTTTTATATGAAAACAACTTTTAAAAGTCAGAGTATTATGGCTTGAATTTTTTTTTTTTTTTTGAGTTGGAGTCTTAACTCCGTCGCCCAGGCTGGAGTGCAGTGGCATGCTCAAGGCCACCCCAGTGTCAACTTGCTGGGCTCCGGCAATCCTTCTGCCTCAGTCTTCCAAATAGCTGGAACTATAGGCGCACGCTTCCATGCCTGGCTAATTTTTTTATTTTTATTTTATTTTAGAGACGAGGTCTCGACAAGTTGCCCGAACTGGTCTCGAACCCGCAGGCTCAGGCAATCTACCTGCCTCGGCCCCAAAGTGCTTGGATTACAGGCTATGCCACCAAGCCCGGCTGGCTTGAGTCTTTTAAAATAAATTTGCCTTGCTATGAAAAGTTGTATGGTATTTACATCTGTTTTATAAATGTTATGCTTATTTTAGAATATTTTCTATTCTAAAACATAAGAATAAAACTTACTGCAGACAAAGAGGCAGAAGACTTCATAAATTTTCTGATCACATCCATAGCTATTATAAAAATTCAATTTTCATCTGTTACTGACAATTTCTAAAACCTGCATGCACATTTCCTGTTGCTGGTTGATCATACAGCCTGCATTTATTGCCATAAAGTACGCTGAAGAGTTGGAAATTATGACATATTAAGCCATTGCTCAGGTAATTTCTTACCTGCAGCAAGCCTCCCTCCTTCTATAGTCATAGATACATATCAAATAAAAATCTGCCATAAATATTAGAAAAATATTCCTTCTAGGCTAAGACATTTTGCCTCATCCTAGATGCTTAATCCTCCTTAATCTAGATGGTGGTTCTCCACACTGGGAGGTGAACAGTTACGGAAATATACACGTGTGCTTCTGGTTATCACAACCACAGAGGGGTTCTCTTGACAACAGGAAAACACAACCCTAGCATGCTTGTCATCCTATAACATTTAAGACCATGTCACACAAACTGAAAAATAGTACCCTAATTAAAAAACACTTAGCAAGACAATTACTTTGATCAGTTTTTTCTAATATCTTCAACTCTCATACCTTTTATCTTTCTGCCACATACCCATTAAAATTAAAAACAAATCCATCACCTGCTATTCTAAATCATTACATGTCCCTGAACTCTCAACTTCATCAGATCCCCAGAAGAAACTCACCATCCTACATTCCAGAGAAAACAAAGTTATTAGGTGTTCCTCATTTATAAACTAACTGCATCTCTGATCACTTCCTGTCTTTCCAAGAAACCATTTTCTCTTACGCATTCCCTACTATCTCCCTTCAACTATTTGGAACAAATGACCTTCTCAATATCCACTCGACTAACCTTTATTGATCTTTCAAAAACCAACTCTCTGAATCTCCTTAAAAAGCATCTCCTGGTTTTTACACTCACCTCCAGCTATGGGCTTAGGCATCTGCCCCTCCACTGGATTCCTACCATGTACATCTGAGAACACTTATGCTATACTTAATTACCTTATTAATTTGTAAAATGCCCATGCTAGACTTTGAGATACTTAAAAAGGCACAGTCCAATTATATCTCAAATTTTTCTACCAGAGCCTTTCCCACAGTAGTCACTAATTTGTATAATAAACTAAATAATTATAGCAAGTCTATATATCATACCTAAGTGTGTAAATCAATTACAGTGAATGGGTATTCATAAGTTTTATTGTAAACACAATAAATGAATCACACACCAGAAGGATCCTACTTTCAAGGTCGATAAATGATATCTATAAAAGTAATGCTTCAAACAAAATCAGACACTTCCAGCAAAAGAAGTTAGTGTAATATATATTTCTACAATAAAAATGAAAAATTTATTTTAAAAATACTTAAAGGAAAGTTACTTTGTCTGTATTATCTCCTCTATTTCTTCCTTTAGATGGTCTAGATTTAAGTGATACAACATTATCCTCTCCATTTTCTGATGTTTTAGAAACAACAGATTTTTCTGCAGAACTTGTCATTTGCAGTGGTGGTTTAATTCTTCCTCTTCGTGGTGTTGCTAAAAAGAAGGACAAAGAACTCTAGATTTTTTTATTTTTATTTTTTTTACATATTGCTATTATTGCAGTACTTTCAGATGAGGAAGGTAAGAGATGACAGTCTAGGATGGTTCCCAGGTTTCTGGCTTATATAAGTAGTAATAGATGTCATTTGCCAAGACAAGCAGTGGAAGAAAAATCAGCAGGGAAGGGGGAAAGATGAATTTAATTTTGTACCTATTAAATTTGAGGAGACTGTTAGACACCAGGCAACTGCCCAGTATGCAACTGAATTTTTGGAACAGAAAGTCAATATTAGATTGTCATGAAGACTACATAAGACTTTATTTAAAGCAACTAGTACACAGTATCAGATTTTTTTAACGTTTATTTAGCTGTTAGTATGTACCAGGCACTGTCTAAATGTTTCTCAGGATTCCTTATTGAAAGAGGGACTTTTTATTTAATCATCTCACAACAACTTGATAAGATAAATACTTCAGTTCTAATTTATAGAAAGCCAACTGGTTCTAAACTTAGCTAGAGAATAATCTGTACATAGTACACAGCTGGGAGTGGGGAACTAAGCCCAAATGGCCTGGTTAATGTAACGTTTTAACCAGTAACTTATATAGCTTCCTGCTTAAATTATAAATGTTGAATATTAGTATTCTGAATAGTTTATATGTCAATACCCATCATATCTTTCTTCCCATTATAAGATACTTGTGGTTCACTTTTTATCAATTTTTATATCCCCAATTTATCCTCTAGATAAATTATGTTCACATCTTCCTTGAATTAGAAAATGCTTCCTTTAAAATCCAAACATGCCAAAATGTATGTAATATTTGTTAGAAATCTTTTAGGAATATAAAACTTACATGTGTTGATTAAAAGTATCGGACTTCTCACAGTGTATCTATCTGTACCAGGAACAATCATTGATGCTTCAGACATTTTTCTTTTGCTAGGAGTAATTATCTTAAACCATGATGAGAAACAACCACAGTAAGCACACATTCTTTTTAAAATTAAATATTCTACAATTTTACTCATAACATTTTGCCTTGACCACATACAAAAGACTTTTTTAAATAAACAACATAATATCCAAAAATTCCTGTGTTTTAGATTGACTTGAAAGGTTTTGTTTGATATTGAATAATTAGCCAAAACAAGTAAAAAAATATTGTTTTAAAGAATATTAATAGAATACTCATACTTATGAAGTAAAATACCTTTATATGCCAGCTGAAAATTAATTTACTGATACTGAATTTGGCTCATAATTTCCTGTTCTATTTCATGAGGATGATGTCTGGATACATATTTATGCAAATTTATTTTGAATGCTTTCATAATGTTAGGCATTCTTTAAAACTTTCACACATTTTTGAAATTTAGGAATTCAGAGATTCAGTGGCACAAAAGCTAGTGGTTCCAATAAAGATTTGTGTTTTCCATTATCATCCAAGACTGATTTATAAGAGGGACAGAGGTTGATAAGCAAAGGCCCAGCCTACAGGAAAAAGAGGTTTCAGATGCCATATAAAGTAGAAGGTGACATACTGTGTAGAGGTATAGGAGAGTTGTTTTCAATCAGGGGGGAAAAAACCAATGAAGTTGTGAGTAGGTATGTGTGTGGGACGTGGGGAACAGTGGAAAGGATAGGAGAAAAGAAAATTATATGATTAACCAGAAAATAAGCTTCTGAATCAGTAGGTTCTACTTAGAAAAATTACAGTTTCTAGTGGCTATAGAGAATGGGACCTGAAAAGTTACTTATTCATATAAATGCCTCAAACAGTTCATCCTTATTGAAAACATAGCAGGTATCTAACTACTGCTTAACTATTTAACTATTGTGCAGTGTTTTTCAAACTTTGATGCACTTAAGACCTCTCCCAGAATTTATGATTCAACAGATTCAAGGTGAGGCTAAGAATCTGCATTGTTAGTAAGCACCCAATATGATTCTGATATAAAGATAAAAAAGGAACAAACAGTGAGAATTAAGACTACAAGGAAGAATGAGTGTGGCATATCAGGAGGCAGTAAAGCAAACAATCTTACTAAAGGGGAGAGTATATACTGCAGTTTTAAAAGAAAGGGTTAAATTAATTGTAGAAAGTCTCAGAACTGAGTTGAAATTTGTTGAGTCAGTGAGATGAGCACAGAAATAACAAAGATTTTTGAGCAACAGAATGCTATCAGGATACTGATATTTAAGAAAAATCTCTGGTATACTACATGGAGTAGCTCACAAAATGAAGCAATGGTGTCAAAGTCCAATGAGGAGGCTACCGTATTCTCTTAACTGTGGTGAGATGAATGATGGTAAAAGAAATAAAAAAAGAAAGGATGTGAGAGATACTATGAAAAAATAATCGCAAGCACCTTGGTTCTAGATATGAGGGAAGAAAAGGCTGGAATCAAAGATATTGCCAGAAAAAATAATGATAATATTACTGGAATATGGAGACAGATGCAGATTTGAGGCAAAAGATCTGTTTGAGCTTAGACTTCAGGAAAGAGCTTGAAGAGTCAGACAAAAAAGAAATATTAGAATAGTAAGTAGAGATGCTGCTGTAGAACTTTGAAGAGAAGTCTGATACATTTTCAGAGCTCAAATTATGCACATGAAAGACGCTCTTTAAGGAAGAAGGCAACAAGACATTCAGAAGACTGGGTATCAAGCTTTTGGGCTTAGAGCAAACATATAAGGAAGTGAGGAGAGAAAGTATGCCTGATGTATTAACAGAAGGAAGAGAAATTAGGATGCGAATTAGAAGACGAAGAAGACAACCTTAAGAAAGAGGGATGTCAACTATGTCAAGTGTCACAGCAACATATGGAAAAAAATAAAAACACTGAGAAATGATTCTATGGGATGTGACCCAGAGGAGGTCCTTCAATGGAGGAGGTAGAGGAATAAGAATCTAATACTATTTTTTCTTTCCTCATGCAAATAAACAGATTATAAATTTTGATTATACATTATAGCCAAATGCAAAGACAGAAAACATAAATGCAGGGAACAGGTTCTCTTATGTATCTTTAATTGTAATTTATGAGTGTAAAGAATAGTATACTTTGTCCCAGTCCCCTTATACATACACACAATCAGTAAGACACTATCTTTTGTTTGCATTTGTAAAAGGTAGGGGAAAAA